AGCGTAGACGTGGAAGGGTGAAGGGATGCGAGACACACACGCACACTCGCGCAGAAACGAACACACACGGAGAAGGATGGACAAACGGGTGGTCGCGGTTAGCGACACCCATGCGAGGCCTGAAAGCAAGGGCAAAGATGGCCGACGTGCATGAGATTAGGGGCGCAAGCGTAACCGCGCGAGGCTCCGCCCCCGTTCGACGAGGCTCTCCGTTCTGCTGGCTGATGCCGAGCTCACCCCCTTTGCTCTCCCTCCCGTACACGAGCGCGAACCCTCTCGTCGTGGGCAAGCGCCACGCTGCCGCATCGTCCAGGACCACCAACCCCCGCTGCAACCCCACCAGCACCACGTACACGGACAGCGCTCCTGCCATCCCCCTGGAAGAGTTCATCCGCGAAGCGCTCCTCGCCGGCCAGTCAGCGCCAAAAAGTGCAGAGCTTCGGGACAAGAGTTCCGCGTCCTGCCCTGCGCGTAACCTTTAACCCTTGTATATGGCAGTGACGAGCCGGTGCTTCGTCCCTTTCCCTCCGCCGGTGTCACCCCGGGAGTCTCGTGGGACACGAAGAATCTGGTGACTTGATCGCTCGGTGAATCGTCCCGATCGGTTTCCACGGCCCTCCTTTGGCGGGAACGTTGAGCCATAAGGGTGGACCCTGGTGAACGTCGAGTGAAGTGTCTGGTAGCGGTGCAATCGATCTTAGTTCGCGGAAGGAAAGGTGCTCGCGAATACGCGATCGTTGGTGATCGTTGCTTGTCATCGGTGACACACGGGTGCTTCTTCGTTGACTGTGTAGTTACGCGAACGGTGTTCGTTCCGTCGGTGTCCAATCTAAACTGACGATCGAGATGTGGAACCGCGGGTCGCCAACGTTCTCCGTCGCCATGCAGATAGACTGATCTCTCGGCGGCGAGCAGCGATAAGTGGGTGCATCGTAGAGGTGTCGAGATCCCTTAACGGATTATCAATATCGGTGCGTTTCTCGACCGGACGTGGCTCGACTCACATAAGCACGGTGAAAACGCGAACGGTGCACAACGTACTCTCTTTCAAATCGTTTCGATATCCAGACACTTTGTAACTTCTCTCACACAGATGCGAATGCGTCTTGGAGCCAAGAAGCGCAGCCGTCGCTGCCGGTGTCACGCTCGTCGTTCCGTCTGAGGGTGCCGATTCGGGAACCAGCCGCGGACCCTTAAGCCGGGACAGGCTTAGCGGCACGCAAAATGATGTACTCGCCGGACAAGATGATGGGGAGCAAGGGACTCCACGGGGCACCGATCACCGCCCCGGGGTGCTTTCCCTCGGGGAGATACTCGCCGCCGCCTTATCGCGCAGCGCCGGATCCGATGCCGCCGCCGCCGAGGCGATGTATGCCGAACTCTACGGTGAGTCAAACTACTTGTTCCCTGCGCGACATTTTCGTCGAGCCTTACGCATCCCGTCCAACAGTCTCGCGGATCGTTGCCAAATGATTCCTCGCGACAATCTTTACAGCTTATTTCGGGCTACAGCGCTATCCGACGCGACGCAACGACCAACGAATCAGTATTCGTAATACCGATGGGTCGTTCCTTCTCTTCGAAACCACTTACTATATTCTTCTGCACACGTTTATACGTATTCTACTAGAAGAGACCAGCGTGTGTCGCTGATAAAAGGAACTTTCTATACATGTTTATATAGCGCAATAAATGTAAAAATCAAGCGTTGCAAGTCAACTCATTAATTTAACGCGATTGTCATATCAAGACATCATCCTGAATGATACAAACAGTGAATAAAATAATAGGCGGTAGAATACAACTTATCGGATATTTCTTCAGTCAGTCTTAAGTTTCTTAGTAATCGCATTACAGAAAACGTTTCATGAATATTCTAATGTGTTCAGTAATAGATGAGATTTAGCTCCGTTCATCGATTGTGTCTCTTGCTTCGATGAGCAGTGAATCAAGTCAAGATTTTATCTAAGAAAGTAGGTATCGTCGATTAGCCAGCCGTCCCTCCAAAATTTTGAACAGCACCGCAACGGGATTCGTATAGAAAGTGCTTTTTCCTACTCTTACCGATAGCAATTCAATTATCCGATGAAAATAGACGTTTAAATAATACCAGCCATAAAAGTCAACGGAATTGAATTAGTTGACAAATCAACTTAAAATAATATTAAGTTATAATATATTTAGACGAATTGAAGATATATAATTTGTCTGATTGTTTAAGGATTGGCAAATGTCGCGAATTCGTTAATGAAGTCAAAGAATTGGAGAGATAGTCTCTATTCTCTTTCACCCAAAATTTCAATAGAAAATTTCTTCATTAATCTAACGGAAGATCACTACACCGCAATTTCGCCTTATCGCAGTCAAAAGCGGAAAATCAAACAATATTGTCTAGCGTTTCTAAAATACAACGTACATTTTAGATTTAATTGCTTAACGTAGTGTATAATCTATGCGACCCATTTGAATGTGTTCGTGATTACATTGTATTATTTACCGCGCATGCAATATTACGCGTGTTATTGTGCGGCCGATGTGCAATTTGTTTTCGGTTATTTAAAATACGTTTGAAATGGTGGGCTGGATAAACGCAAGAATACGACACTGCGGAACATTTAAGGAGGGTGGCGAGGCATGTCGTTGAAATTTCTCTTCATTCGTTTTCATTGCCCGACACTTGACCGCGTCGGCATGCTGTATACTCATATTTCTCGTACTTATTGCTGACATGAAGACACACTCAATTTTAGTGCGAATATATCTCTAAATATAACTGCGGGGAATATCAAGAATACGTACGAACACTTGTTTCTTTTCATATATTCATGGAAAAATCAATATTTCTTCCAAGTTGCGTCTATATTTATAAATCATCGCCTTTATGGAGAAGTTTGGATCCATCTCTTGCATTTAGCTAATGAAACAGATGTTCAGTAAAATTCTTGGCGAGAATCGACAAGTTATCATAGACTTTGCTGACCGATAATTCTAAATGTGTACGATATATTCAGAAATTTATATTAAGAAACGTACTTTGCAAAAAGTCGATGCAAAGTGACAATGGCACTTTAAAGTTCATGTTATTTCTTCAATAGTTTGTTAACAATAATAATTGTATACCAAGCATACGATAAACACTGTTAGCACATGCAACAATTCAAAATGATACACAACTATTACGAGTCAACCACTATTGAAAATTCTTAATTTAATAATAAATAAAATAATCCAACTTAAGTAGTATTTTAAGAAATTTTCATTGCGACTAGTTCTTTTAGCGTATCTCTTTATTGAGAATGATATAAAATGGATTTCGAAGAGCAAACCTATAAGTGGAGATTCAAAATATTCCAAAATATATTTTAAAATAAGATCATCTTTATTGGCGAATGACCCTACTTTTATTGTTAGATCTGAGGTACAATTTGTCTGAGGGCTTTTTCATAAAAAAAAAGTTTCACAAATAAAAAAATGCGATTCATAAATGTCCAGAATTTTAGATAATCGAATAAATATAAGTGATATTTCCCTTATAATATGTCAAACTAGTAACGAAATATTTTATCAAAGTACTTCAACACTTGTCAAAAAATATTATATATTGGTATATAATTATCGGTGCAGAGATAATAGTAATCCAACACCATTTGCTTGTTCTATATACATATAGAAAATCGCCATTTCAAAGTAGAATTTAAAAAATGAAACGAATATAATTAAAAAATGATAAATAACTTTTGTACATCGATATTAATTCAATTGAATTTTGTTTCGATGGGGAACTGTGAAAAAGAAGACTAATGTGGTTGTATTGGTAATTTTATCGAAGAAACTCGAAGAAAACTACTTGACTTAGTATTTGATTGATGATTAGTAATTGATTTCATTTATCACACATGTGAAATAAGTAACGAAGAGCGATTTAATTATAAGAAAAGAAAACAATATATTGTATGCGAGTAACCGTTTAATTTACAAACTTGAAACAAGCTTAATTACTACTTTTAAGCTTGTAATGTCTTCTTTCTCTCACGTATCGACAAACTCAAAGAATTACGTCAAACCTTTTCTGATAAGCCAGATGTCTCCAATTAGGCCAATCAGACAACTGAATGTCATAATTGAATTTAAACTATTATTTGCGCCAAATACCATTGCGAATATAACAATCAATCGAGCAGCGATTTGATCGGGCTAAATTGCATTACCGAGCTGTCGTAGAAACGCAGCTTCGGTCGATGCAAAAGTGAAATTGGTCGGAGAAATATCCGTAGTGATAGAATTCGTGTCCGGCGAGAAGCGCTCAATAAAAATAACTTTCGATTCGCGATGCAGTTAAAATTAAACGTCTCAAGGTTTCATTTAAATCATATTCCACGGTTTGCCGAAGCGCTGCATTTAGAGTATGCACGTAGGTATCGAGCGATATGTTTTTCTATCAAGGTCGAACGAAATATCATTAAACGAATCGTTTACAAGTGGTACGGCGGTTGCGTTGTCCAAAGATCTCGACGGGCGGGATTTAAACGTGTCGGGCAAGGCCCCTACGTAGCAATATTTAAAATAAATGAAAGGGGAAAATTTTTGATATTATAACGACGAGGATTAAACCGCTCGAGTAAAGTCTAGGATCTGAGCGGATATCGATTATTTTAATGTCTTACGACCCCCACGGCGAGTTTACTTAGTTGTGAATATGCCGCTAACTTTACCTTACGCTGTTAGTTCTCATAAATTTAATAGGAATAGAGACACGAAAGGTATTTGTCACCATTTTTATATAATTGGTACAATCCTACGAGATAAAGTTTCGGCAGAATGAGCTTGATCTTTAAAAATACCCGCCTCACGATCGTTATTTCAAAATCAAATTTATCTTCCCATTGTCCCTTACCATTCTTACAATTGCACATTTCTGGAACAATGGCCCTACTTGTTGTAATAGCAACTCTTTAACTTTCAGCATTAACTTCAGTATTTGACTCCTTCTGTGTGCAGCGGGAAGGTTATTAAAATCACACGTTTCCCAAACGTTTAACATTGCAACGCGAACCCATCGTGCCGATTTCAATTTCGAGATATTTCACAAGTTCTGCCAAAAAAAAGTTCTCCTTACTCAGCATTGCATGATTATTACATGTAATTTACGTGAAAAAAGAAAATAAACGTAACGAGAGTTTTACACGAGAGCGATTTAATACCGTTTCGGCCGCTGCGCGTCAAGAGGGGAGGAAAAGGAAAAGAAGTTTCGATTCTGTTCATCTCGTCGATTCAACTCATCCTATCTTACGGTAATATTCATAAAGCCCGTGAAACTAGCGGATATCTAAGCGGAATCAATCACAGTTGAGCCACGCTCTCTTCCCTGCCCATTCCTCCAGCCGCGCTCTCATCTCCCTTGTCCTTCTTGTCCTTCACTTTTCCGATCCCTCGGCAGACTTCTCCGACTACCGAGGTCGAGACCAAAACCATATCGAACGACCGAAGCGTCGAGTTTCCTCCCCCGTCGGCGCGATGCGTTCCCTGGGCTACATCGCGGGCTCCGCAGTCTTTAGTTTATTCATGTGACGTAATAGGATAAAAACCGTCGCTACGAGCTGAGTGCCTAGATGAGATTACAGCCGTACTGTTACGCCCGGTAACGCGAATCCGATGTAATCGCCCCTTCCTTTGATTTTTCTGTTCAGTTCTCCCGATAACGCGCGAGAGGTGGCTCCGCACGGAACGCATCCCGGCGTACTTACACCATCACCCCTTCATCACCTCCCCGTCCCCCTCCTACCTTTTCCCATTTCACTCGCATACTAATGCTTTATCGCCTTTTTCTTCTGGATACGATTTTCCAAGTACAGATTGGACATGACTAATGCCATGATCGAGCGTGATTCCGAATCGGAATCACCCACGCACACGACAACTTTCGACACATTTCTTCACTCGCTATCCCGGCGAGTGGGAAGTATCGATGCTATTAAAACATCTGCATTTTTTACAAATACTAATAATGCGTTGCAAAAGGATCGCCTTAGATTGGCGATTTAATTTACTTGTCTGAGAAGAGACTTGCTCGGCGCATTTAGAATTTCTCATCCCTGTAAATTCGCTCGTCGTTCATTCATGTAAAAATCTGCGATTTGAATTTTCATATAAATAATTTTTATGTAAAATAAAGACGGTCGGACGCACTACTTCTCACGGCTATCGTACACTTTGAGAGCGACCCAAGATGCTCGGCTTCCGAGCAATTGTATGAATATTAAAGCGACTAATATCTTGAGAACAATAGAGAGGAAGAAAATTGAAACGAGATCAAATCCTCAAATATCGTGCCAAACTTTTTTCAGATACGATTCGCCGACAAAACGGCGACGATCGATCGGCGATTA